GTGAAATCTAAAACCGCCCACAGCGCATCTTCAGAGGTTATCATTCAGCAAATGTGGATTCTGCGAAAATTTGGTGGTTTTGCGCGGTGCGGCCGGCCACAGCCCTTCTGCTTGCACTTCTGCAAGGGTTTTCAGCTTGCTTCAATATGCAGGCAAAACGGGTCCTAGTCGCATTCTGTGCGTCTCGGAAGTTTAAGTTGCCGGGCTTAAAGTGCTGTTTCTGGCCTTGTAAGTGCGTTTCTGTTGCGGAGCTTTGTGGCTCGAAAAGCATGATAAGTGCTTTCTTCTAAGCGCAACGGTAACTCATAGCAGAAGGGTGGAATTCTCTTGGCCTCATTTGCTGCATGTGAGCCTTGGGTTGCGTCTCCGTCAATCCTCCGGCAACAGGATTGCTGTGCTGGGTTAGGGCAGCCGCAGATAGGCCAGCGCGTATACTTCAGCTGCCGGCTTCTGGAACTTGCGTAACGCAAAAGGACGAATGGGGAAGATCAAGCTTTTCCCCACGCCTGAGTACACCAGCAAGCAAGCCTCGGACCCCGTGGTGCCCCTGGTGCCATGCACGGGCATCTTCCTTGGGCCCAGCAAGTCGGGCAAAACTGTGGCGCTCTTCAGTCTCATCCTGGAGCAGTACAAGGGCGTGTTTGAGCGGATCTACGTTTTCAGCCCAAGCGTCAACATCGATGATGGCTGGATCCCCGTCAAGAAGTACATCAAGCAGGACCTGGGGGTGAACACGGAGCGTGAGCAGGCTTACTGGGACGAGTGGGATGAGTCCGCCTTGCGGCGCATCATCCAGCAGCAGCGCAAGATCACGGAAGCGTCCAAGAAGTTGGAAATGAAGAAACTGTACCAGTCATCGACGACTTTGCTGACACACCGAAGCTCCACAAGCCGCACGGCGCCCTTGACACGCTCTTCATCCGAGGCCGTCACATGCAGATTAGCACCTGGGTGAGCAGGCTCATCAGCGCTGCCGTGCGGGTGAACATGCAATTCCTCTGCTGCTGGAGGCTGCGCAACCTCGTCGAGGAGCTGAGCGCCCTGCTGCCGAACCGGCCCCCTAAGTCCGCTAGGCCCCCTAAGTCCCTGGGTGCCCCGGGGCCTCGCTGTTCTCTCGACCGCCGGGGTCAGTTACGGGCGCGCTCGCTTACGTCTGACATCCACGATAAAAAGAACGCAGTTTTCGAAGGGGCAAGAGTCCCGCCCGTGCCGGGGTTCACCTGCAGGTCGCGGACCTCCACCAGGCCGCATTGCTTGCCCTAGTGGCGATGGTAGTCATCTTGACTCTTGCCTGCCGGTCCTTTTTCTATCGGGCGGACAACAAAATGGTCCGACCAAAGGGACGGCCCTCGGCTCTCGCGGCTCGAGGGCCGCCATTTCCGGAAAAAAACACCATTTTGTTTGCTTTTCCGCAAATTCAGCTTTGCGTGGTTTTTGAGCGTGATTTTGCATGACAGGTTGCCTTGCGTTTTTCTCACGAGTTTTCACGTCGGTCGTGTTTGGAAAGAGCTTGCCCAAGCACGTGAGCCTTGTGAAGGCGAGATTCGGGGACACTCTGGGGTCCGGGGCGGCAGGGAACCGCTCGCGGGTGCAAAGGCGTGGTTTCAGACTCACAGTTTTTCCTGACCTCACGTGCCCTGTGCCCAGACTTCGACGTGCAGATCTTCTCGCAGCCGCGATTTGCCTTTTTGTCACTTTTTGTTGGCCGCTTGCAGGTGGATCCAATTCGTGCTACTGGGGACTCTTTAGCTGGGCACCTGTGCGGATTGGTGTCAACTCGGCCTTTGAGCAGTGTTTCAGGTTTGGTCCTGGATTTTGAAGGTCGTGTTTTCGCGCTTCCCCGTGCCAGGCTTTGTTTTGACATCGAGGCATACTGCCCGGGCCTTCGCTGTTTCCGTTGTCATGGCCATTAATGCCAACTGATCTTTGAGGTTTGGGTCCCAACTTGCCAATCTGTCAGGCCCCCTGATCTTTGGCCTAGCGAGGCCCGGACACCCCCCCCGTCCCGTGCCAGGATTTGCGCGACTCGAAGACGTTCTGCCTGGGTTTTTTTTGCTGATTGTGCCGTCAGTGTTGATGCGCGGATTTCAACTGAGCTTTCAGGGTTGGGCCCAACCTTGATCTCTTTGACCCGGTGAGGCCCGAGTGGTTTGCGTTGTTTTTTTTTGTGTGCTTTTCCCAACCCCTGAGCCAGGCCCGCATTTTGTATTGTCTCTCCAACCTGGTGAACCCTTGACCTTGAGAGCGATTGCCCCAACCCCGTCAAGTCGTACTGTCAAGTTTTTTGTAAGTCAGGCAGTGTGGTTTCCTCAAAATCGCCTTTTTTTTCCTGGCGCTCGGGCACTCCGAACTTTTGAGCTTGCGCCTCGAGCTCCACGTTCCGCCCGGGCCCTCGCCGCGTTCCATTGTCATGGCCAAGAGGTCCCGTGCAGGTTATTGTCATTTGATCTTTGTCACCAATCTGTCAGCCTCCTTGATCTTTGACCCAGTGAGGCCCTGACGGTCCGTCCCGAGGGTCCCTGGGGTCCCTAGGGTCCCTGGGGTCCCTGGGGTCCCTGGGTCCCTGGGCACGCGTGCGTCCGCTGCAGGTGCCATGAAACAACGTCCTTCCATCAAGACGTCTCGCCAGGGTCCCAAAGTGCATCCATCCTTGTCAACACACGGCGTTTTCAGGGATTTTAGGGACCCCAGAAACCTTACGGACCCTAGGGACCTTAGGGACCCTAAGGGACCTTAGGGACCCCAGGGACCTTAGGGACCCCAGCAACCCTGGGTCTTGGGGGCAAGAGATCCTGTGAAGTGTGAAGTCATCTCTCAAGCTTCGGTTGGTTGCAGCTTGCCACGCAAGGGGACACAAAGACGCGCGGAAGGGCAAAGCTTCTGTTGTTTTTCCATTCGAGCAACTTTCCAATACATCTATTTATCTTCGTGTACTCATATCTATTTATTTTCATTCATTTATATCTTCATATCTCTACGTATTTGCATCTCTTTATGAATTTTCATATATTTATATCTTTGTATTTCTACAAATTCATATCTTTATATCTTTGCATCTTTATACCTTTCTCTCTTTATATCTTTATAATTATATCTTTATGTCTTTGTGCCTTTATGTTGGTATGTCTCTACATGGTGTTTTCTACATCCGTGTTTGTAGTTGGGAGATGATGTTGTGGTGTTGTGGCCCATTTGCAATGTGTGCGTGTGTGTGTGTGTGTGTGTGTGTGTGTGTCTTGGCTTCGGCATTTTGTGTTTTTGCATGACCCTATGATGCTGGAGAATGCCCAGGCTGAGTGGTACCCGGCGTGAAGTTCTTGCCAAGATCCCTTCAAGCCCCAAAATCCTTGGGGCCACCAAGGATCTCTTGAAGTCCCTGGGTCGCTGGGTCCCTGAAGTCCTCGGAGTCCCTAGGGTCCCTAGAGTAGGGTTTGCCGGGTTGCTAGGGTCCCTAAGGTCCCTAAGGTCCCTAAGGTCCCTAAGATCCCCAAGGTCCCTGAACCCGCCGTGCGTTGACAGGGATGAGCGCACTCTGGGGCCTTGGCGAGACGTCTGATGCACACGTGTGCAGGGACCCCAGGGACTCTAGGGACCCTAGGGACCTTAGGGACCTTAGGGACCCTAGGGAATGTAGGGACCCTAGGGACCCAGGGACCCCAGAGGCCCCAGTGATCCCAGGGACCAGGGACCCCAGAAACCCCCGCCCTTCAGCCCCTGGCGGCCCGGTGCCGATTTCGGCTGCTTGTTTTGCAGGCAGGCCAGTTTGGTATCTCGCTTGGACTTTGATGCAGCGGCAGGATGTGGGTCAGCCAGTCTGACGGATGGACGCTGCGAAGCCTTGCAAGGCTTGGCCCGACCGACCTTCAGGCCGCGAGCGAAAAGGAGGAGGAGCATCCAAACCCGTGCGTTGGTGTTGCCAAAGAAGCCAGTCAATCTTGTGTTTGCTCTGGAAACATGGCTCGAGGATACTCATCAACACTGACACAACAACAGCTCGCAATGGTTGCCCGATGGGTCTAGTGCCAGTGCTTGAGGAATCGCAGGCCGCTCAAGCGCTTTTCGAATAGCCATGGCGATGATGCGGACCAGGACCAAAAGCCGAGGCTGGCAAGCTTGTGACGCTACCGTGCCCGCGGTAGGCAGCGGCCAGGTATGTGCCTTCTCGGGATTGCATTGGCGCTGCTCGTGCAGCCGAGCACGGCCTGGGTCTTGGGACACATTTTTTTCGATTGTTTTCGGGTTTCAGGAGTCCCTGGTCGCCGCCGCCCAGGACTTTGCTCGAGGAGTTCCTGGGCTGAAGGAGCATGAAGTCCCTCCTTTGCATGTTCTTGTTTCGTGCTGAGTGCCAGGACAGCATATTGGCCCTGTTCTCAGAGTTGCCCGCAGGCGCAAGCAGATTGCACTTTGGCTCTTTCAGGTGGCAAAACGGCACCCGTTGCATGCCGGAGTCGCTCGGCGCGCCGGGGCTGCGCAAGAGGACTCCTCCGACCCGAAGCCAGTTCGCATTTTTTGCCGGCTGCCGCCAGGACAACAGTGCCGAGGCCGGGGACACGCTCTTCTTCCATGAAGGATGCCAGCCATGTAAAAATCAGCAGTGTCCGCCTCCATGCGAAGTTCACAATGCTCTTGAAGTGTATTGGCAGACCCTTACCTTTTGACCCCCGGCGGCGAGATAGCATAGTTGATCTTTGTGACTGTACAGGCAATTTGAGGCATTCGGGGAGCGAAAGGAGCTTTGAGTGTCAGTCCAGTGCAAGGGCATCGGCAAGGTGGCGTCTTTGACGGCTCCAGCAGCGCCAGCGGCAACCAGAGTGCTAGTAAACAAGCCGCGTAGGGTCGTGACCACGCGGACCAACATAACACGAAGCGGCAAGGACATGTTGGCACGCAAGAAGTCGTCCGCCGCCCAAGAGTGCTCATCAAATGCTTGAAGGCACTGGGCAAACATTGCCGACGTATCCAGCGGTAGGATTGGCCTTGCAGGCCCGTAAAGTTCAGGAATGGCCATGGCTGTGATGAGGGCCAGGATAAAAAGCCAAGGCCCGCAAGCTGATATGCTGCGCTGTTTCTTGTGTGGTTTTGCAAGGTGCGTGCCTCAGCCTGGGAATGCGCTGGCGTTGCTCATTGCAGTGGCCGAGCACGGCCTGGGTCTTGGGAACGTTGAGGGGTTGGCAGCTGACTCGTTCGGGCTTCAGGAGTCCCTGTCCGCCGCCCACGAGTTTTCGCGAGGAGTTCCCGGTCGGAAGGACCGTGAAGTCCCTCTTTGCGAATGTTCCTGCTTGTGCTGTGATGCGAGGACCGCAACGGCGCACCGGCCCAATCTTCAGACTTGTCCACTAACGCAAGCAGATTGACCCTTTTCGCATCCTGCGAGCTTAGTGAGGCATCGAGCCAGCGCTGGTTGCATGCTGGAGTCGCCTTGCGTGCCAGGGCTGCACGAGAGGACCTTCGGACCCAAAGCTTGCAAGTTTGGACGATTGCAGTTGCCAGGACAACAATGCCGAGGCCTGGGGGACATGTGCATCAGAACGCTGGGCTTCTTGGCTGCCAGGACCGGCTCCATCTCGAGGAGGCGGCGGGCCTTCAGAGAAAGCGACGTCCCGGCCTTGTCTCGCTCAGGTGGTCGCAGAAGCCAAACGGGTTGTGGACAACGGCACGCTGAAAGACATGCAAGTGGTCATGCGCCGCTTTAGCAGCACGTCAATACGTTCGTTGTGGATTTGCAGGCGCGGTTGAGCTCAGGAAGAGTGCAGCTGGTAGATCCAGCAGGGAAGTGGAAGGTTTGGGTTAATAAGCCCGAATTGGAGAAGCAGCTGCGGAAGTTTGTGGCAGAGGCAGCAGTGTTTGCTTCCTTTACCAACAGGTCAGATTCAGAAGCGCTTTCGTGACATTTTCAAAATGCACGTTTGTCGTGGGTGCTTTTCAGGCCAAAGCAGCCAAAACGGCATTGGAGGAGGCCGTCCGTTCGAGCGCGTTCGAGCGCTCGGCGTGGGAGTCGGCCTGGGCAGGACCTGCTCCTGGGGCGACAGCAGCGGAAGACGGGCCAGCGGCAGGTTGAGAGCGCCCAGCGGCAGGTTGAAAGCGCTCAGCGGCAGGTTGAGAGCGCCCAGCGGCAGGTTGAGAGCGCCCAGCGGCAGGTTGAGAGCGCCCAGGAGCAGGGAGCGATGGCGGTGAGGCGTCTCGCTCGAGCTGCCACCGTCTTGGAGACGGCGGAGGACTCGGGCAATGCGACAAAGGTGCAGGAGGCGAAGAAGGAGGTCCAGGAGGCGGAGAGGAAGGTCCAGGAGGCGAAGAAGGAGGTCCAGGAGGCGGAGAGGAAGGTCCAGGAGGCGAAGAAGGAGGTTCAGGAGGCGGAGAGGGAGGTCCAGGAGGCGGAGAGGAAGGTCCAGGAAGCGAAGAAGGAGGTGCAGGCGGCGGAGAGGAAGGAGGCGAAGGCAAGCGGCCGGACGAAGGAGTCCGAGGCGGGCGGAGTCGGTCGCTTCCGCCGGCCGGCTGCGTTCTGGGACTCTGATCGTTGTGTGTGGTTCTGAACTTCCCCCCCGCGGCGCGCAAATGCTTTCAATGGGCTGCCCTGATCAACATCCACAGAATGAGAAAATCCCAAGATAGCATTTTTGCAGATTGCGGCGGTTCGTGTCGTTGGCAGGCTCGGTATGGAGCCCCCATGAACGGATGGTTGCCTTTCCTTGTTGGAGGTCGGTCATTCCTGCTGGTCGACATTGATTGAGACGTGCCGTTGATCGTTGTGAGTGATTTTGCGCTTGCCCCCAGCCTGCTTTTGAAAGAGCACGTCTGCCGGGGAGAGGGAGGGCAAACTCTGATGTCTTTGCAATCATTGGGGCCCTTGCTGCTGCAGGCACAATTGCATTCTATGAATGTGAGCTCAACCATTCCCGGCTTTGCGTCCACTGGCAGTGTTCTTGCTCGATGTTTTGCCCGTGTTGCTGCCATTCCATCCCCTTCTGTTGTTCAATTTTCTCCGTACCTGTTCATATCTGCCTGATTTGGTGTGAGTGGTTAGCGCAAAACTATCAAACAGTCGAGGGGGAACCCGCAAATATTGAAGAGCCTGCTGTTCCAGTCGCCTGCCTTTTGAAGAGCAAGACCTACCCTTCTGCCATGGTCGTTGCTGCTGCAGACACAATGCAATCCGAAGGTTAAATTTTGTTCCGACAGCACGAGCATGGAGGAGATTGCTAAAGTGTGCACAGTGTATTTTTGCTGTGATCGCATCCACAGAACCATGAAATCCCAAGATCGCGTTTGGGCACGGCACAGCGCATTTTTTTGGGCTTCAGCTGGCTGCAGTGTTGGCGCACGTGATGCGACTCACTGTGGAGCCCCACGAATGGTTGCGTCCATGGGCAATGTTCCTGCTGGATGTTTGTTGGTTTTGTTTCGGTTTTGGTATCACTTGTATTCCTGGCTTTCCTAGTGCTCGGCTTTTGCATTAAGTGCCCAATGCTTCTTTTTGATCTGTTATGAAGTGTCAGCGTCTCGCAAAAACATGAAACAGCGGGGAAGGAACCGCGCAAGTGTTTGAGCCAGCGGTTGTTGCAGTCGGTGTGATCTTGGCCCCCATTTGCAGGGTGCAAGACGCTTGCAACAACACCTTTCCCCCAAGCATGCGAGAACTGTTCTGTGACAGAAAGAAGTTTCTGGCTGCCTGAGTCAATTATCACGATGACATTTATGGCCCAGAGGTACATGAGGTAGGTCCCCATGTAGTCAGTTGCATGTTGTACATTCAAGTCATTGCCAAGGCATGATTCAACCACTGCTTTGGCTCAAGTGCTGAAAACAGCGCGTGGCATCGCGCTAACCCCAAGGTTAAGGGAGAGGTCGCAGTCACGGAGGGGTTCGTTCCTTTTAAGGTCCCGGGTTCCCCCGTCGTTGACAAAACTGTGTTTCCCTCTCCTTTGAGTGGTTATCAGCCGTAACGCTTTTCGGGTAAACAAACCCTTCCGTGACTGCGACCTGTTGGTCGCACATGGAAGTCGGCCCTCACCGCGGCACACGCGGTGGGAAAGGGCCGCGTGCCCGATTGTACAACACTCTGCAACAGATCGTCGTCGACGAGTACAAGCGGCAGAACAGACGATTCCGGTGGATCAGGTTTGCGGACGCCTCGAAGCAACAGGTCGAGGCGCTCTTCTCCTGGCGTGAGTCACTGGATAGTTGGCACCTGTGGAATTTTGACCAAGAAGCCTTCGACGTGATCCAGGCCGCGGACAACGCTTATCAGCAGCGTCTCGCATTGGTTGAAACCACAGGAGTGGTATTGCCGCAGGGTGCGCCATCTCAGGATCAAGCCGCAGCCTCAGGCGCGGCGGGAGCATCAAGCAGTGCAGCGGACTGGCTTCGTCCTCCGACGCCTCCATCAGCTTCCTCCTGGTTGCAAGATTCGCGCACTCCTTTGCCTCGCATTCGGCCATCTGCAGAGGAAAGACAAGCCGCAAGGTCAACTCTTCGCGGGGTATACGCTAAAGCTGCGGAAACGCGGCGGGAGAGCAGCAGGGAGCGATCAACACAAAGATCGAGGTCCCCATCGCCACGAAGGTCGAGGTCTCCATCAACATCACCGAGACGAGGACCAACTGCTGCTGCCCTTGTGGAACAAAGGGCTCATAGTGTTGAACCCGCGCTTGCGCGGGAGGGAAGGCCATCCAGGACCTCCCTAGCCACTCGGCCCATCGTTTTGGCTCCACAGAATAGCATCTACCCTGTGACGAGGTTTGACGAACACGGTACCTGGGTATTGGTGCGGGAGGCATCACAACCACGTGAAGCGGCTCCTCATCGGCGAGCGCAACGGACGTCTGGGCAGCTTCGCCAAGCCGATCCTTACCTCCTCGCTGACGAGACGTGGAGGGACCCGCCAAGGAGGTCCTCCACGAGCTCACGCTCACGGTCTCCTGACCGCCGCCCGGCGCCTGCGGAGCACTTCCGCCTCGACGCCTACAGCTCGGACGAGGACCCACCGCAAGACGTGGAGTCCATCAGGACGGGCAGGTCAGCATACGTGCCTCGGCGCGTTTACGAGGCGCCGACTCACTCCGAGCCCATCGCGCTTCACAGCCGAAGAATCGGGGCAGTTCAACCGCCGCCCCCAAAGGCCGCTCCCAAGGTCATCTTCGGCAGCAAGCCACCGTTGCCCAAGGAGGTCCCCAAGGCAGTTTCTCCAGCGCCTGCAAAGGCAGACATCCCGAGGAAGTCACCGCCAAGGGCCAGATCTCCGGTTCGGACTCAGAGTGCATTCGGGTACAAGGCACCTCCGCGAGGCTTGAACAAGGCCGAACCCAGAAGCAAATCGAGCTCAAACCCGCCACAATTCGGGTACATCGTCAAGCCGCCACCTCCACAGGTCGTTCAAGCAGCTGCTGCTAGCACTGCAACTTCCGAAGCTGGCCCGCGATTTCGCTCGCCACCAAGGAGGGCACCGCCTGCGCCCCCGCCGCCGCCACCTCCGCCTGGAAGGCCGGTGCCGCCCAAGGAGCTTGTTGTTGCTCTTGACTGGCACGGAGTTCTTGACGTTGGGCAGCAGGGACCCCACCTCAACCCGGAAGTGATCCGACATCTCGTTCAGTTTGCCGCGGACTACGCACCTATAAATTTTATAGTGCTATCCTTCGTGGGCAGGGCTGCAAGCGAGTATCGCCGCCGCGAGTTCCAGGTCGCCCTGGAGCACGCGCGGACGACATCTGGACTCACTTTTTCTGCGATAAAAATCGTTCACGAACGGTTGGGAAGGGGAGGCAAAGCAGACGCCCTTCAAGGGCTGGGCGTTCACGCCCTTATTGACGATACAGCATCGATTGTCCGTGAAGCTCAAAAGACAGGCATCGCGGCGTTCCGCAACTTTCCGCACTTCGGGCCGGGCGGATTTGCCAACGCACTTGAGAACCTCGGTGAGTTCATTGAATCCCGGAACAGACAATTCATTCCGGCGGCAAGGGGCCTGCATCCATCGCAGTACCTCGAGGAGCTCCACCGATCTGCATCCCAGTTGCCCGCCAGCCGGGTACTTCGATAGCCATTGTTGCAAGCCGTTAAAACCGTCGCTTTGCGCGGTACAGCTTTTGCAGTTACAGGCTTCGATTTGCAGACAAATTCTCAATACAGCTTGGCAACATCCCTCGATAAAGCACCATAGTGCGGCAGTGCGGATCAATCAATCTACAAGTACAATTACAAATGCAGAATTCATCAGGTGCAAAGCAGCAGGGCGTATTTTCTTGAGTGGCTCACTTGAGCGTTTCGCAACGTATTTTCTTGAGTGGCTCACTTGAGCGTTTCGCAACAGCTGCCAATCCAGGGATATCTCCTCGTAGCACCTTTTGACACGCTGCTCAAAGCGCGTGGAGCTAGCTTCGTGTGAGTGCAAAAGTTGCATTGCTGTGTCATGGCTTCAACGGGCTTTGTCACCGCCATCAGAACCCCGTTCAAGGTCAACCCCAAATAGGGATTCTGAACCGGATGACCCTGACCTAGCCATGGTTCCTGCAGTTATGTCCACAGTTCGCACATCCACACCTCAAAGAGCAGCCCAAACACGACCATCATCACCCCCGAGTGGTCCGATCGTGTCAGAACCGACATCATCCGAAGCTTCCCCAGCCATTCAGTTTCCTTCACAGGGATCGCAATTACCTGACCCGATGACTAACGTACCCGCTGCGGCATTTATAGCTGGAGCTGCGGTGCAGCAAGCTCATCGAGCATCCGACCTCGCTGCTCAGGCAGCCAATCACGCCTTGCACAACAGCAGGCCGCCGATCAGGCGAGACAAGAGGCCGGATGGATCAGGGAAAGGGCTGTAAGAGAAGTTTCAGACGTTAGGGTTCAGGCCGCTCAGCTAGCTTCGCAAGCGCAGCAGGCTGTTCAAACAGCACAACATAGTGAGGCTCAGGCTAGGCAACTCATTGAGCAGACACGACAGGAAGCCTTAGGCCATGTCGAGAACGCACGACAGGTTGTTAATGCCACTCAACAGGACGCTCAGCAAGAGGTTCAACGCATTGTTCAAGAAGCTCAACAGGCAATCCTACAAAGGGAGCAAACCATTGCCAGTCAAGAGCATACCATTCGTGGATTGTCCCAGGAAAATTCTGTGATGCATCAACGACTTGGTGATCTCGAACGTGTTGTTGCGCAGCTCACCCAACAAGCTCGTGCGACCCCTGTTCCGATGCAAGAGTCCCCGCCGAAAGCCGCATCAATAGCCGAAACAGCTACGGAAACAAGCGCGGCTAAAGCCTCAAGTCAAGGCACAGTTCCCCCAGGAACCCATCAGCCGGTTGGAGCGCCTCAGGTTTCAAGTTCACAAGATACCTCCGGTGTTGCCGCATCGTCGCAAGGGAATGCTTTTACAAGTACTATCCCCGACCCTCCGTGTGGTTCTGTTCAAAGTACAGGACTTGGTCACGATGCCCCAGCTGATTCAAGGGACCCTGGTGGGGGT